CCACCCCCCCCCCCCCCCCCCCCCCGCCCCAGCTTGAACATGACTGTTTTTCCTGGGATGGTCTTGGTCAGAGCCGTTCTTCAGCCTGACTGATAATTGGACATGTTTCTCAGTTTCTGAACTGAGGCATGCCCATTCTAGTCTCCTGGGCAATGCTCAAGGAAGTTGGCTCATTTAAGGTGTCATATTAGTGCTGTGGAGTTCCTATGCTTGCAGGGGGAGGAGGGAGTGTCTCTCAGTTGTAAGCTAAGCAAGAGCATCCCCTATAGCACAAGACAGACAATTAGCTGATGGGGATAGGGTCTCCTTCACTTTTCCTTTTGTTAAATTGGGGTTTTTTTACTCCTTTCAAGTGGAAGCCGTTTTTTCTTTGCAGTCTGCTCATTAACTTCTAAATTTTATTTCAGTAAATTGTATCTTCTGTGCATGAAGCATACCTTCCTCATCAATCAGTTTGATTTACCTCTAAGTGGGGGGAGAAAGTGCTTCAGTTTTCTGTTTATCATGCTGATGATATTGAGAAATAGGCTTTCAGCGTATCTGAATATTTAAAACAGTCTTATTAAATCTAATCTCAAATCAGTGTAGAGCTACAAAAGAAACTGTAGCAATCTTAATTGTTGCAGTAGTGCTAAAAATACTATTTCCTGTCAATGCTTGTACTTTAGATTTTAGTAGCTGTCAAAAAGAGCAAAGGTTGTCGGAAATGAATGACGTTTCTAGCATTTCTAGGGCTTATCAGGGTGTGCAAAACAAATCTTAAGGTCCAGCAACAGAACCATTCTTCTGTTTCTTGGTGAATATAGTGACCATTTCTGATTGGGAGGTGGCTTTAATATGAAGCTAATTTTAACGTGTAAAAGAGGTGCTCATATGCATTGCACATGAATGGCAGTTTGCAAACGAAGCAGGAATTAATTTCATTACAGTAATTTAGTTTTCTTTTTATGTCTCTGGTGTTTACAGGACTGTAGGAGCCTTTTGGTGCTTGTAGATTTGTGCTTTACATTACCATTGCGGTTACAAATGCATAGAAGTGTGGATGTTTTTAACTCCTCTTTAATTGATTGAACTGGGAACATGCAAACCTTTGAGTCTGCAGCCCGGCTATTTACGTATTCGTAAAAGATACGAATGCCTTAGAGTGGCTCAGCTGTGTGCCCTCTTCAGCATGTTTCAGGCTGCATGCCCTGTCCTTCTTCTGTTCTTTCCAGTTTTATAAAGTTTCTTTGCTCCCTTCCCCCAGCCTCCCAGGAGACTTAGCCTCTAGTGATGGTATTCTTGAAGTAATTTCATGTAGTTAAAAACTCAATTACCTCTAATTGGATTGCCCAAATATGCAGGAAAAGAACATAGGTGTCCTCTGGCCTGCTACCACTTGGGAAAGTTTGCTTTTTACATTTTATACCCAAATACCTCAAAATGAATATAAGGCCTCATTGACCGTTCAATTTCTATCATGTTTTTTGTTTTACTACTTAATAGCAGTGGGAATATTTATTAATAGAAATACTAGTGCAGTGTTGTACATGCTTCGTCATTACCAAGATGGTCACCACCCCTCTGAATTTGCAGTTTAAATAGATGTGTCAGGGAGGGAGGGGAACCAGATGCCCGGAGGGGATGTACTCGCCCAGGATTACACAGCCAAGCAGCAGTGGAAGGAGGAATAGGATCCAGCCTTACTAAATTCCTAACCTCGTGTCTCTTCCGCTGAGCCGGGCTCTATCTCCTGTCAACAGCACCC